CTAACCCTTAGTTCAATAAATGAACTAAAGTCCAGCTCATAAATGAACTAAAAGTTTAGCTCAAATATGATGAACTACTAGACTCAAGGGAAGCCAAAATTTGATTCATTTTGGACTTGTGTTGACCCCCCCTTTGTCTACATCATATATTCAATGATTCATGTGATGATGCTTTTGAAGTCTTGGGAAACTTTAAATTGTCATGCATGAGAGAGGGAGAGAACGGTTTAAAAAAGAGCTCTGAATTCTATTTGTGAATGTTTTGAATTCATTTGGATAGGGGAGATCATGCCTATGGCTTTGGAGAGTGTTCTAAATCAATTTTGCCATAAATTAATTCATTGGAAGCTCATAGAAGTTGTGATCTCTTAGGATTTCATCAATTGCTTATGTTGTTTGCTATTTACACTTAGTCATTTCAATTTGCGAATTGAACAAATAAGCTTATATAATTTCTAAGTGTGATGGAGTATTGGCTATGTTTCTTTGGTGGCTCGTGAAATACTTCATGTTAGTTTTATAAACGCTTTGAATTAGGTTTTGCATATTTATGAACTTGTAAATTTTTGAGATTTTATGATCCTAGCAAGGGACCTGTGACACATTGCTTTGATTCATGTTAAAATAGGAAACACACATCCAAAGCTATAAGTAGATTTTCAGTCAATTTTGGTGTGATTTCGTTCATTAAAAATATGAAAGTGAGTTTCTAATTTTAGAGATTTTGTAAATTAGAGCAATGGGTTATTTGTTATTATCTCTATATGCTTTATAAAATATCCAAGATGAGTTTGATTAGCTCTACTTGTTCTAAGATTTGCAAAATCAACCCTTGGGGATTCATGTAAAATTCTACATCAAGTTAGATTTTTCAATCAATCGAATGCATTTTGGACATCCAACAACGCCATAGAAAATTCACAAGTTCTAATCAATACAAGTTCCTTCACATGTGTGTCACTTTTGCATGACACGTGTAGGGAAGGGATACACAACTTGCATCATTTAATACCTACAACAAGCATTTTTGTTTTATGCAAGGCAAATTAAATCCTAACATTGTGCGATCTAGTTGGTTAAGTGTATGACCACCAAATTTGAATACGATGACTACAAAGCCTAGGTTTTGTTGTAAGTGACTTCTAGGATCCAACATGAATGCATTAGATGTGAGGTAGGGACATTGGACACGAGTCTGAGGACTTGGCTTCATAGCCATCTTTTTTGACTCTCACATGAGAGCAAATTGTGGGAAATCACCAGATTTCCACAATTTTTCCAAGAGGATAGCGGAGATAGGGATTGTTTTTCTAAGGACTTGAGAGCTTGGGGAACGTCAAACATACAACCACTGACCAATAGACTTATTTTGTAAATTTTAGGGGATATACCTCGCCGGAGCAAGTTTTTGAGGCTAGCCAACGTGCTCTCGCGTTGCAAAAGCGAGAAGGAAAAAGGATGAAGCATGTGCTTGCTTTACAAATAGTTATAGATGTTGCCTCCACTGCTACCAACTCGTCAAAGTTGATGGAAGAGGTAGAATATTATACAACAACCCCGTTACGTCCTTCAACAGGAATGAGGATGGCAGTAACAATAACAACCTTTTGCTATTTGTGGAAGATGGTGAAGAGAATAAGCAGCTCCTAATCTCCCTTATTAATTTTTTTTAACTTGAGAAGTAAGCAAATAACATAAATAAATAGGAAGTTCTCTACCCTCTTTATTTGCACTCGTTTTGATCCCTTTAGTTGGACATGCATGCTCAAGAGATAAGGCTCTCATCTCTGTTTGATCGGCCCAGGTAGAGAATAAAAGAGGTCCCAATTGCTTGGTCAGACCCACCCAGTTGCACACACAAGTATTTCTCTTGTTCTTTTGGCCGCTCAAGACTCACGCATGAGACAAGGCTCTTGATCCCTCTTTTGTGCTCGGTTCGACTTTCAGATACCACACAAGAGAGCTTCTTCCGCCTCTTCTAGTCGCACGCATAAGCTGCACAGAGTATCTCTCCCCCACTCCTTATCGGTTCCACTCGGGCACGAAACATAACTGCATGCAGAAGACTCTCTCCCTCACCCAGCTGGACGCACGCAAGCAGGGAACCAGACTAAGACATCCTCTCCCTCTCATTTTTCTCTAGATATGGGTAAGTGCAGGAACGAACAACAAATCAGAAAGATAATCGATCCCCCGCTTTAAAGTGCATGCTATAGGATTTGGCAGGAATGTAACGGCGTAGGCGAGTGGATTCTAAGACAATCTCAATCATTGGATTGAATTTTTGATTTGGGAACTTATTTGAGCTCAAATTGAGTTTGAATCGAGCTTGTTTTAATTCGATCGAGTCAATTTTATGAAATTGGAATCAAATCTAAGCCGATTTGAGTTCGATTTGGTCCAATCAATGTAATTTGATGAAATTAAACTCGAATTGAAGCGATTTGTTTTAATTTGAGTTTAATTGAGCTTAATTGGGCTCAATTCATGTCCTATTTGGTTCAATTTAGGTTCAACAAAGCTTGATCGAGTTGATCTGGTTCAATCGAACCCGATTGGGTCCGATTTTGACACAATTCGAGTTGATTTGACATAAAAATTGTGTCAACAGTTTCAAAAATAAAAACTTACAATCACATAGTCTTATACATCACCCATAAATTATGTAAATATTATCCTTGACCTTGTTTGTCAACAGTTTTTTTTTTGTTCTTTGTGCTCTTATGGTTGGTCCAGTTCCTCTTATGTGCTCATTGTGCTACACTAAACATACTTTCATTTGTCGTTATATGCGAATGTATTATAAAAGAGAGAGAATCATATATTAGGCTGTGGGTGTTTTATGTAGCTTGAAAAATAGAAAAGGAAATAAAGAAATACGTTTAACTAAGAGCATTAGGTGTTTCAAGAACAAGCTGATTGACCAGCCAATTGTCATTTGATGATTGGGAGCGCTTTGTGCAAAGCATTTTAATATCCTGAAAAGAATTCCTACGTTATAAAAAAAATTACAGCCTGGCAGTTGAGCTAACCTTCTTAGCTTAAGAATTGATTGAATTTGTGCATTTATTTAGAAAGCAAATTTTTCGGCAATACAATCAGGTGAGAACAAAATGGTATCCTTCTAAACTGTGGAACGCATATGCCAAACTTATATGCAAATACCTTCAATTGACGTGGAATGCTTGAATTTTGGGTTTAATTTTCTTGATTTCTTAAAAAAGTTTCCATCTATTGGGTCAACTTCATATTAACGATATATTGTGGAAAAACATCCACCCAACCCTCAACACTCAAGTTTTTCTTAAATCTAATATGCTGTGTAAGTTAAAATTCATCATAGAAGATAACACATGGTGACTCATTGCAAATGTTAATATATCCATTTAGTGGGAGCTGTGTGAGGGCCCATTCTACAAATGATTTAGTTCTCTCAAACTGTTGTTACTCATACTATGGATCTTTTAGATCAGTGCTGGCATCTAGGATTCAAGCTTATTCACTTGGCAATCCCATTGGTCGTTTCCCAACTCATCCTCTCCCAATATATTGAAGCTTTTAAGGCCAATGACTTAGTAGACTAGATTGTAACTTCCAGTAGCAATTTTAGCTCTAAGATTGCTTATTCCTTGTTTGGAGCTTATAAATGGTCTTACCTAGTATTATCCATCTATTGAAGCCTGGCTTACCTGCTAAGTGTCAATTGCTCATGTGGAAGCTCCTAAATTCTATTCTCCCCACTAATGAGATGTTGGAGTCCAATAGAATTTTGTTAACATCCAAATTTAGGCATTGCCATTCTCTCAAGCCCCTCAATTACCTATTCATGGCTTATACATCATGCTTAGATTCTTTGGTGTCACTCTACCACTTGTGGGTCTGCTGTTGGTACCCATTCATATTATTCTTGCTATCCTTGCTACTTGTTGGAACATCAAAAATCTTAAATTCTTCAATAGGCGCAAGATTTTTTTTAGATGTATGATTTGCTAAGAGATTTGAGCTTCGTTTGGGACAGTTTTCTTCCTGCTTGCTAAAATAATTTTTTGGTACAAAAATTTCTTGAACTTGAAATATTTGTTCTAGAAAGATGCTTTGGAAAGTAGTAACGAAGCTGTCCCGAACGAAGCCTTGGATTGCTCAAAATAATGCAAAATATGACTATAAGAATTCATTTGAGGTTTCCATTCAAAGAATCAAATAATTACTTCTTGAAATAACTCTTGGTCTCCCCATCTCTTGTCCAGAGATCTACTGAGCTTGATATTACTGTTTTTGGGACTCCCCATATCAAAACTTGCCTTTGAAGGAACTTGATCCCAGTGAAATGGACTTGGCCATCCCAGTGCTTTTATTAAATTTAATATCGACAGGGCTTTTGTCAAATTATTTTGGTAATTGTAATTTTAGTGGGTTGATTCAGGATTGCATTGGCCGTTTCATTTGTTGTCATCTTCTCCTACCTACAACAACCAATTATCTTTGGAGATCTCAGTAGTTCGAGACTGACAAATTGAATGCTCGCCATATTTAGGTGAAATCAGACTCACTCTTATGACCTTGGTTGACAAGTTGGGTGCATTTCCCTGTGTCTTCACTTTGGATTCAAATAATTTATCAACATCTGTCCCTCTACAAACCTTACCTTGAAAAACATTTATAAGGAGGCCAATAATTGATTTTCTTGCATATATGGGTTGTTACACTAGACTAGATTCAACTTTTATATCCTTGCCTAGGCAATTATCTATAGAATCTCCTTCTCATGTATACTTGAAGAATGCTGCTCATAGCTTTTGTCCAATTTTGGATTTCTAAATCCTCTCTATAGAAAGTTATAAATATACTTTTTGATAAAAATAAGGTGTGCCAGCAGTTTATTTTCCTTCATGATTTCAGAGAAAGTCAATAAACTTTCTAGTGATCTAGATTGTGATAATTCTAAAGATTTCCTTAGTTATTTCAGAAAAGAAAATGACTTTTGTTACCTGTGATTATAGGTGCTATTGATGACACTCCAAAATGCTCCTCCTGGACTTGATTATGATCGTGATAAAAGGTTCTCGAAGGTACTATGGGGTCCTTTTAGCTATAGATATGGTTGATATTAATGTCAATGTATTTAGTCTTTTTACTTTTTATTTTTTTTGGAATCTCTGGCATGGTCTACATGATGAGATTCATATTTTTTGTAGAAGAATTGTGTGATTACATTTTGGAGTATGTCTTGATTATTTTTCTAATAAAGAATTTTCAGCTGTGCTCAGTCTTTTAAAGAAATGGTTGCAATGTGCTTGGTCAAAGATCAAACAAAAAGGCCAACGGCTGAAAAATTGTTGAAGCACTCATTTTTCAAAAATGCAAAGCCTCCAGAGCTGTCAGTGAAAAGCCTTTTGGTAGATCTACCACCCCTTTGGGACCGTGTAAAGGATCTCCAGGTAATTCATCCACTATGTGGCTTATATTTGTGTCCCTCATTTCATAAAAATTTTCTTTCTAAATGAAATATATATATATATATATTTAGCTCAAAGATGCTGCACAACTAGCTTTGAAGAAAATGCCTTCAGCAGAACAGGAAGCATTATCACAGGTTCATACTTCATTAATGTTTATGATGACCAGTATGCTTACTAAGCATTCTTGCATTGAATTGAAATAACTTGCTTCTTTGTTGCTGCTGGTTTTTATTCTATTTTCTATTATATATTTTTTTTCCTGTGCCAATCACATGAAAGGCTATAAGGAAAAATAAGGTAACTTCGATATTCACTTGCTTATTCCTTGGTCGGAAATCATTTTTAGATTTGATACCAGCTTTCTGAAGAAAATGACATGTTAGTGGTAAGAAAATATTGTTAGCTTTCTTCTATTTTTTCTTATGATTATAAATCAACTTTACTGCTAGAAGAAAGAGCAGCAGGAAAAGACAAAAATAGCTGTTGAAACTATACTAAAAGCACTGATGAGTGTCTAATTTTCCTTCTTTTTTTTTTCTTTTTTTCTTCTCTTGTGTGCCAATTTCTTGAAATGTTATAAAAAATTTATTAAATTCAATGCTTATTTATTCTTCTGTCCTAATTCATTCTTTAGATTTACTACTAATTTTTTTCAAGAAAATGACATCATACTAGTAGTAATATTATTAGCTTTTTTGTTTTGCGTAAAGGTAGGAATTCAACTTTACTGGGACTCTTTTGGGATTTTTATGAATAGGTGGTAAAACTTCAAAATAACCTCCCACTATTTGTAAATTGGCAATTTAGTCCTAGGTTATCATGTTGCTTCCCTTTATTTAAGAAACTCGATTCAAAATGATCTCTTTGTGATTAAATTGGGTTCAATTTTATATAGTTGAGGGATTTAATTGGAATTAATTTAATATCACAATTATAATATGAGAGATCATTTTTGATCAATTTTATATAGTCGAGAGACTAAATTGAAACAATGTGATACTTGGGGATTAAATTGGCCACCTATTTTGATTTTTTTTTTCTGGTTAGAAAAAATTGCAGCAGGGAATGGAAAAAATAATTGTTGTAGCTATGCCTAACACTGACGTCAATATATTTGGTTAAAAGTTGAAATGTCGAATCCTTTTCTACCGAAAGTTGATTATTACAGCACAGTCACTTCTTCCTTCTGCAACATGTTTTGGTTTTGCAATAGTTATATTGGTAAGAATCTGTTGTGTCCTTATGTTGTTAAAATAATAGTTGTTGCACATTTGCCACACTACATTTCTTTTGAAATTATGACAAACCCTTATAATTTTTTATGTAGCCTGTCTGATGACCAAAAAATGTTATCTTGATATAAACTTGATGATGATGCATTGTGGACCATTCACCCAGATTATTTTTTCCTGTATGTCAGTGTCTTGATCAACTCTCTGTAGAATTGCCTCAGACAATATTTAGAGTGTTGTAAATCTGAACATTGAACTTTACCTATCGAGGCAAAGGTTTCATTTGATAATATTTTTCCTTAGCTTAACTTTTCAAAAACCGTATTTATCAAATTTTTTTTTTTTTACTTAGTGCGGGAAACATGCAACACAAAATTTATACAGCATATGCATGTCATCCATGGCTTCATGATAATGGAAACCCATTTGTTAAGCAACCTGAAAAAAAGCTCCTAAGTGTTCTTGAGGAAGATATAGTTTTAGCATCCGAAGAAAATGAATGATGTGAATTTCTTATCCCTTCGGGTACGTTTTATTCTTGGTCCTCACTTCATCCATTCCACTGACCGCTATTTGGTGTTGCCGTATTGTTATGCTTGTTGATACACCCACTCCTAAAGCTTGTCTCATTGTGGAATCTATTTCTGCTCCTCAATCTTTTGTTGAGGCTGTTATGGGGAATAGTGGTCATTGCCTTAGCTTGACTCCTTTCATTTCCCTTCATTTTTTGTTGCAAGGGCCTATAAGACATCACTACAAGCTACCATGCTCCTTTAAAGATAAATCAACTGTCATTTTGTTTGTTGAGACCTTTAAGTTGGCATTGATTTTTTTTCTCTTGTTGGTAAGTTTTCATGGGCCCATCCTAGTATATAGTTTTTTCACAGAGTCATGGCAGATTATTTTGTGGATGGATTTCTAATGCGTTTGCTATGCCCATTTTTGAATATTTGAAGGAACAACATATCTTTGAATTCGTTTTTGAAACTAATCCATTATGTTCTCTCTTAGTTCAATTTTTAATAAACCATTCCACATAGATGTTACTGCCAAGCTGTTCAGTTAATCAATTACTAGGGTACTAGTCGAAATGGATGTTACTGTCCATTTGCAAAAAGATATATGGATTGGAAATACAATTAATGAGTATTGACAGAAGGTAGAGTTTGAAGACATTCATTATCATTCTTGCAAAAGTTGGGTCATAGCTTCTTAGGATGTTTCAGGGCAGCCAAAATTATGAAAACTTCATAGTAACGATAGCAATGAGGAATGTTCTTATGATAAAAGCCTTGCTTCTAATGTATTGTTAGCCGTTCCTACTTCTGTTGATCTAGTTTGTATCCAAAATTTTGAATTGAATTTAGATCATGCCATGGAATTAGTGTCTTCCTGGATTGCTAGTCCAACTTGTGAGAAAGAAACACCACTTACTCACTAGATTAGTGTCGCATGTCCACATAAGGTTTTTGTACATAGAAAATAGAACATTTAGATTACAAAGATTGTAAAGTCATTTCAAATGAAAGCTTATGTACTCAACATCGCTTATTGATTTTGGACTTTAAGATGAAGGGGTCATTTAAGTCTAAGATTGAAGGCTGAAATATGAAAAATAAAATAAAATATTATACTAGATAGATGGGGGCATTTAAATAATGCTAATAAAAATATTTTTTAGAGTGAGATTCAAGATCTCAAAATTTGGGCTGTTCATGAAGAAGTTAATGTTATATGGAAAAAAGGTAACTAGTGATATTAAGACGATTGCGTAGTATGTGCTTGGAAAAGAAAAAGCTTCTAATTATAAAAATAATTGTTGGTGGAATCAAAATGTGTAATAAAAGATAAAAATAAAAGTAAGGACCCCAGATCTTTAAACCCTGACACTACCTGAGGGAAAATCTGGTTAATTTCAATCTGACTTAAGGGAGATGGAATCCTACAGCTGCAAAGCGGGATTCGTACATTCGTATCATTTTTCTTGAGCCAACAGATTTCTGGCGACTTCGCTGGGGAGTACTTTTCTCTCCATCTTTGGATGAAAAGATAATATATATTTAGTCTCAAATAATGAAACATCTAAAAACAAATATAGATGTTTATTCAACGCAGTTTTGTATTTTCTTTTCCAGCAGAATTCATGTTGACTCTAATCCCTATAAGTTATGTTGACAGGTTGATAATATGACTCATGTAAAGTCCTTCATGACTGTGTACTTGGGTTAGGGAGCCAGAGTGCAGTTCCCTCAAGCTGTTCTGAACACAGGCTATGCTGGAGCAACCATTCAGTTCGGAACTATTTCTGAAGTGATGTAGTTCCAACAGTTTCTTCCTGGAATACTGTTAGCGTACCTAGAGCTGTCAATAATGGACCCGACCCGAACCCGACCCGAAAATTTCGGGTTTGGGTTGACAGGAACCCAAAGCGGGTCGGGTTCGGGTCTGAAAAATCGACTTGTTTGCAAAATCGGGTCGGGTTCGGGTTGACCCGGAAACTCGGGAATGACTCGATTTGACCCGGAATAACACATAAACCAGGCTTCCGGCCTCGCGTTAGCCCCGCGTTGCGCAGTCCAGTGCTCCCGATTTTCGCGTAGTAGAGCGCGCCCCGCCTCGCGTCGCGCAGTCGAGCGCACCCCGCCCAGTTGCCTCAGACCCTTGCACGAGTGCGCGACCACTGCCCCGTTGCCGCCTGCTCGCCTGCCTGCCAGCCCCGTTGCCGCGAGCCCTCGCAATCGCGCCCGCGTTCCGCCGTCCGCCGAAGCGGGTCGGGTCCAGAAAATTGACCCGTTTGCAAAAACGGGTCGGGTCGACCCGAACCCGAATAGTGCCGGGTCAATTTCGGGTTTGACCCGAACCCGACCCGTTACCCGAAATTGACACCCCTAAGCTTACCTACTTCCAAAGGTGTCGCTAAGAATCCTGTTACTGAAGCTGTTGATGAGAAGGCTCCCAAGAGGGCCTCTGTATTTTCAAGACTCTCCATGGCACCTGTTGCTGCTCCAGTGATTCAAAAGAAAGTTTCTGATCCCAAGTTGCAATCTGTTGGTATGAATATGATTGGTCAGAACATAATTTAGGATGAAGTGCCTGAAGAGTACAATGCTAAAGTTCTTGATGCAAGTGCTAAGCTTTCCAGGAAAGCCAGAAGAAAGGCTAACGCTCGCTTACGAGCTAATGGCTGGGTGCCCAATGCACTTCAAGAATCATCGCCGCAGTTAGAGGCGAATGTACCCACTGATAACAGCTTTGAATCGTTAAAATGGGTAAAAATAAATGATAACAAGGGTAAATTAAAGAAGTCTTTATGGGAGACTTCACGTCAGCAACCATCACCACAAAAAACGGAAGAATCTACCTCTTCCAAAATATACAAAATACTGAAGGCTGTTAAAGATAAAAATCTACAATGAAGATTGAGGAAATCTGTTACTGAAGTTATTTTCTCAAATGTGGTTCATTCTCAGAATAATAAATTTTCAACAAGACCTTATAGAGAGGAGTTTAAATGTCCTCCATACTATCGAGTGCCAAGAAAATCCTATCCTAATATGTGTCGATACCCATATTATGAAAGAAAATAGTCGGGAGAGCCTTCTAATAGTCTGAATGCAAGAGACTGTAGTAGAAGATATGATGAACGAAGGCCCCGACAATGGCATCATTAATCTGGTCATTCAAAAGTACATTCCAATGTTGGTGGTCATCAGTATGTGACTCCAAGAAGGCAGCAAGTTTGGGTTTCAAAAAGACCCAAATATACTCGAGCTCAGAAAGATGATCTTGATAAAGAAATCTACAAAGGGCAACTTAAATCTCATGTCCAGAGGTTGTTCCATAATAAGGAGACTTCTGTTGATTTGATTATACTAAAAGATGAAAGCTGTCATGTTTACAAA